GGGAATAATTATTAGCTTTACAAAATGTGCTATGTTTGAAAGCTTTTAAAATAGAATTTGGTTTAGAGAATTTTTTGCACATAAATCTTTGGGAACTGCATAAACCAGCCTCTGTTTATGTAACATTCTTTTTTTTTTTTTTTTTGCTTGAGGAAGATTGTCCCTGAGCTAATATCTGTGCCAGTCTTCCTCTATTTTGTATATGGGACACCACCACAGCAAGGCTTGATGAGCGGTGTGTAGGTCTGCACCTAGGATCCAAACCCAGGGACCCCAGGCGGCAGCAGGGGAGCACACAAACTTAACCACTATGCCACCGGGCTGGCCCCTATGTAACATTCTTAAAGGAACATTTGTCAATCAATCATTACAAAGGAATATGTATATATCCCTTAAAACGAAAACCCTTTTTTTACATGACTCTACTTTCTCTTCTTACCCTTATGAATGCCACTAAATGATACTATGTACATGTCCAATAAATTCCTAACATATTTCCAAAGAAACAGAAACCAACAGAATTAAGCACTGGAACTCGCATAGACTATTGCTTCTGGACTGTGCTCTGAATCTATAAGTAATTCCCTCGCCCACGGTGCTCGCTCTCATTCCTGAGCTGTGAGTGTAGCTCTGAGGCAATGAGTGATACCATGGCATTGGCTAATTACATGGAGTCTCCGCTTGTCCAAAGAGAGTCATTCATGAGGAGGCAGGCTCTCTAATTTTCCTTTCAGGGGGATTTCACCCCATGATTCCCCAACCTGAAGTTTCAAATAAACAAATAATAAGAATTAGGTTGACAGTTCTCACCACCTAGTTTCTGAGGTCTTATCAGAAACATGTCCTGTTGAGCCACAGAACCATGGGAATGCCAGGATTTCACATTTCTCCACTGGTCAATATCTTTCATTTGCTGCCTAAAACATGATCACCCAGATACTATGGAGTTATTATTTTCAAGTGCAGGAGTGATTATGTTAAAAATGAGTTCTTATCTTTTAGAGATACATATTGAATATTTATAGATGAAATTATATGATACCTAGGATTTGCTTCAAAATAGCACAGGATGGGGGAGGTAAGTGGGGGTGCAGGTAGAATAATAATGGCCATGAGTTGAAGATTTTTGAAGCTAGATAATGAGTGAGTGCATGGGGGATCATTTTACTATTCACTATATAAATTAATTAATAATTATCAGCTTTTTGAAAGGTCTACTTTTGTGTATGTTTGAAATTATATGTAATTTTTAAATGATCTTTTTGTTTTTAAGATTGGCCTTGAGCTGGCATCTGTTGCCAATCTTTTTTTTTTCCTTCTCCCCAAAGCCCCCCAGTACATAGTTGTATATTCTAGTTGTAGGTCCTTCTACTTCTTCTATATGGGACACCGCCTCAGTATGGCTTGATGACTGGTGCTAGGTCCGTGCCCAGGATCCGAACCAGTGAAACCCTGGGCTGCCAAAGCGGAGTGTGTGAACTTAACCACTTGGCCATGGGCCCAGCCCCCAAAATGATCATTTTTAAGGTAGAGGGCAGAATTAGCAATGTTTAGATTTTAAGTTGAGTATTGCAGTGAAAAAGGAGAAATACTGATGGATTGTTTCTTGAAAAATGTGCATGTCTGATAATTTCTCTTCTTAATGTGCAGAACACTGTCCAGTCCATCACTGTCTCCAAGCCTACACTAACTTTGTAGAACTGTGGTTAGTTTCCTGTGCATTTGCCCGGGCCTTTTATCTGTTTTCCTAGAGCTTTCTCACCTCTGGCTTGTCTCTTCCATTAGATTAGGAATCTCATCATGGCAGGACTTCCCATGTAACCAGCTCTTCATTCCAGGGCCCTGAGGACTATGGTTTCTCAAGAATGATAAAATGTTAACAATAAGATAGGAGCTCAAACAGTATAAGCCAATATTTTTCAAAAGGCTTGCAAAGGGATGCTGATTATCATCTGAGTTCAATTCAATCACCAACAGTGATTCCCTCTGAAGCTAGGGGGAATACATCATACTTTTTCTTCCTGTAAAACAGAAATGATCTAGTCTCAGTGTGGAGGGAGAAGGGAGAGGAGGAAAAAAGGAGGGAAACAGGGATGAGAATGGTAGCCATGTTCTCCAGTGACCCAGTGGTTGTTCCAAAATTTGTTCCCAAGTAGTAGGGACTGTGGACCTGTCCTCAGGGGGCTATGCCCACAACCCTAGGTCTGAGTCTTAGCAGTGTGGCTCCAACACAGCTCTAATTCTTCTGAGTAGGTGAAATTGCTGCCAGAAGTCTTCTGTGGCAACTGCAGGCCCTTTTCCTCTTTTAGCTTAGAGTTCTAGAAAATGTCATTGCTGAGAAAGGTCATAGCATCATTTTAAAGGTTATCCAAAGGCCCTGAATGTGCAGGGACTCGCTCCAGGTCATACAGTTATGCAGTAGGGCTCATACTAAAAGCCAGGTCTCAGTACTACAGGCCAATTCCCCACCTCCACCAATGTCCTAGAGATGTACTTTGGAGGTTTGTTTTGAAAATTTTAGTCTGATAGGAATCAAGGGATATGCTGAGTGCCCTGTTTAAGAACTGTAACATCTAGTTTTGGCTTTCAAAAGGAAGTTTGGGGGGGGGGGGTGGTTTACCTGTTAAGCAACCTGCTAAGATGGCTAAGTGACCCACTGTGGGGAGGAGGTGATGTCGTCAACCCTTTCTGGCCTCCACACTGAAACTGGAACTATGCTCTTGGTTAGGAAATAGAGGAGGAAGTCAAGCAGATTTATCATTGCCTAAGGAGCCTGGTATGCAGAGCTAGGATTCCCTAACTGTTGGTTGAGGGAACAGAAGGAAACTTTCTCATGCATGTGCTGGGCCCCAGCTAAGAAGGGCTGGGGAGCTGCTAGTTGTTGGGATGGACTGTACACTTATGTTCTCTGAGGAGCTCCCCAAGAACCACAGTGATCACCTGTCTTCTCTGCCTGGCATTGTTCAAAACCTTTGGGAAGTTTTCTTTGGGAGAAACCTTTTTCTTTTTTTTCCCAAAGATTGGCACCTGGGCTAACAACTGTTGCCAATCTTTTTTTTTTTTTTTCTGCTTTATCTCCCCAACCCCCCCCGTACACAGTTGTATATCTTAGTTGCACGTCCTTCTAGTTGTGGGATGTGGGATGCCGCCTCAACGTGGCCTGACGAGCGGTGCCATGTCCACGCCCAGGATCCGAACCTTGGGCCGCGGTAGCGGAGCGCGTGAACTTAACCACTCGGCCACGGAGCTGGCCCCGGGAGAAACCTTTTATAGCACTTCTGCATAGATAATTAGCCAAAGTGGCTTTGATACAACAGGTAAGATTCATCTACTTGAAAGGTTCTTCCACTAAATGGATATTAGCATTTAAGATTCCTCTTCCCTTAGCCACTTAAAAGTGGTTAAGAAAATGAGTAGTGAACAGGCTCACGCTCCAGGGGCTCAGGAGGGCAGCCAGGGCAGGTAATCTGAGCTCTTGGAATCCTAGACAGGCTTTCAACCCTCCTTTTCCCTCTAGGAAGAACTTGTTCAGTTGTTAAAAATAAAAATTCAGAGGGCTGGCCCCATGGCCGAGTGGTTAAGTTCGTGCGGGCGGCCCAGTGTTTCGTTGCTTTAAATCCTGGGCGTGGACATGGCACTGCTCATCAAACCATGCTGAGGCAGCGTCCCACATGCCACAACTAGAAGGACCCACAACGAAGAATATACAGGGGCTGGCCCCATGGCCGAGTGGTTAAGTTCGCGTGCTCTGCTGCAGGCGGCCCAGTGTTTCGTTGGTTCGAATCCTGGGTGCAGATATGGCACTGCTCATCAAACCACGCTGAGGCAGCGTCCCACATGCCACAACTAGAAGGACCCACAACGAGGAATATGTAACTGTGTACTGGGGGGCTTTGGGAAAAAAAAGGAAACAAATAAATCTTTAAAAAAAAAAAAAAGAAGAAGAATATACACTATGTACTGGGGGGCTTTGGGGAGAAAAAGGAAAAAATAAAAATCTTTAAAAAAAAAGAATAAAAATTCAGGGCCGGCCCCGCAGCCGAGTGGTTAAGATTGCGTGCTCTGCTTCAGCGGTCCAGGGTTTCACCGGTTTGGATCCTGGGTGCGGGCATGGTGCCGCTCATCAAGCCATGCTGAGGCGGTATCCCACATGCCACAGCTAGAAGGCCCCACAACTAAAAACATACAACTATGTACCAGGGGCACTTTGGGGAGAAAAAGGAAAAATAAAAAAATCTTTAAAAAAAAAAAAAGACGAAAACTTCAGCTTGCTAGAGCATTTAGCTACTCTTCTGAAGTGTTACCAGATCTAAAAGGAACCTTGGCCTTTCCCTCCTTGCAGGCAAGTATGCCCCAAGGTCAGACTCTGCAAGGTCATCTGCTCTGTGCTCCTTGAAGGGCTCTGGACTGAGAAGTTCCCATCCTCCTGCCCATGGCCTAGTCCAGTCTGTTTCCTCTTTTGTCAAATACTTCATTAGGAGCCAACTCAAATCTTCCTTGCCTTAATTTGGGCCCATTTCTTGATTATTCATCTGGTGACACAACAACTTCTTGATCATTATTAAGTAGCTCCCCCTTGAAATTTTTTTATGAGCTTTGATCCTCTCAGAAGAAAGATACTTTTAAATCCAATAAACAAATACATAAATATGCAAACATGGCATACCTTAGACTTGGAATAAAGTAGGGAAGAGAGTAGGAAGAGTAGCCTGAGAATCCAAATCCAACCTGAGACCTTGCAGTGAGCCACAGGAGCCAATTCTGGTCTTTAGCATTCTTTTTTCCCACCCAGCTTTATTGATATACAATTGACATATAACATTGTATAAGTTTAAGGTGTACAATGTGTCAATTTGTTATACTTAAATATTGCAAAAATGATGACCACCATAGAGTTAGCTAACCACCTGCATCATGTCACATAATTACCATTTCTTTTTTGTGGTGAGAACATTTAAAATCTTCTCTTGGTCTCTATCATCTTAATGATAAATGAACAGGAGCCTGAGCTGCCACAGCAGGCAGAGCTGCTGACTCCGGATTCACATGGAGTAGAAGCCACCTCAGACCTTTTTAAAGGGAACATCAACAAGCCAATGATGTGAGTTAGTGATGTCTAGGATATAGGAATGAGGATCTAACAAGAGACACTGTGGGAACAGGCAGGCTTGAGGACCCTGAAGGGACGATGAATTTCTGGTGCAAGGGATGGAAGGAGGTGAAGCCATGATGGAGCCAACTGAGAAGAATAAGTCAGGCCCCACTGGATGGTGGATTCCTCGTTCTGGGTGAACAAGCCAGGCTGTTTGTGAATCTCTGGATCCTTCGTATCATCTCCAGGTTTTAACTTGTAATCCTCTTTCTGAATGCTAAGCTTATGTTATGGTTTTTATGTCACAGGCCCACTAATGGTCAATATTCTCCAGACCCTGATGTTTGTTAATGCACACGACTGATTTGTACTTTTGTTCCTCTGCATTGTTTCAAAGCCCACCTCCTTGCTTACTGACAATTGCACACAATAATGATAACAACTATGGTATTCAGTGTGGCTCACATTGTTGCATGATTGGCTATTATCCACCCTTATTATAAGTACTGAAGCTTAGTTCTAACTTCACGAGTACAATCCAGAAACATAGTAATAGTTTGACTTCTGGGATCATCTTTCTTCCAGAAATCTCGTGAAAATGCCATTGATTTTTTTCCTAAAAAATAAAATTGTCTTCTGTCTCCTTATAGAAGTTCTTGTGATTATCCTCATTTGACAGCTGAGAAAACAGCATGAAAATAGCGCTTTCTTTATACCTTAGGTGTTTCACTTAGCTCCACATTCAGTTATTTTAGGAGGGTTTAGATGTATCTGAATGGTCACTAAGAATTTCTGATGGATTTTAAACCTGACCTGTTTAAAGGAGTTGTCCTAGATGGTTGAATCCAAGCCTGTCCAGGTGACCTTGAATGAGGATTGTCAGTTCTTCTATTTGTCTATCACAGGATGCTCACCAAGGGGCAAAGGGAGGATGGTTCAGTGCCAGATGTCCACCATTTGTGGCAAAGCCGCTCAGAGCTGCTGCCTTGTGGATATGAGGCCAGTCACTTTACCTGTGTCCTGTGACAGCAACGTAAAGGGAAAAGATGTTTCTCTGTCATCTCCACAACGATGTGAGCGAGTGAAATGCCTAGGCCCTTTGCCTTGCTGAAGAGGTGCCTTTTCTAATGTGCATAAAGACACCATATGGGCGAGAAGTTGTCTAAAGAGATTGCCACGCAAGTCCAAAATAGGTCACGCATGAGGCTGCTCATGGCAGCATTGTTTTGGGTAGTAGAAAGTTGGAAGCACAAGGGGTGCCCATTACTGGGGAACAGAGAGGCCAAATGTGTTGGGTGCACATAGTGGGGTACTCTGCAGCAGTCAGCAATGATGGACTGGATGAGCACGTAGCAACATGGATAGGTCTTAAAAACAAAGTATGGAGTGGAAAAGTAAGACAGAATGAGATCTATAACACAATGCTGTTGATGCAAACCAGACAACAACATACACTCCACATGAATATATACAAGCCAAAAAATATAATTAAACACATTAGAATGGTTGCTTGTGGTGGCGGAAGGACAGGAGTGAGGAGTGGGAATAGGAGGAAATACATGCACCCATGCATAAAACAAAGGAGCAGCCTTGTATGGACCAACTATAGTATAATGTGCCAGGAACTGAAAAGTGTGATTAATTTAACACTCCACACCTGAGGCCTAATAAGAACTATATGTATATATTAAGTGCCCTGAGCCTTGCCAATTGAGGCTTTCCTCAGTCCAGCTGTTGACCACCAGTATGGCTTGATCAGCATGATCACAGCTTTTTAATAATCTCATTGACAGAGATTTATATCTAGACTTGAGTGAACTGCCCTGTAATATGCCTGCCTTTATCAAACTCAAGGATGTCTGATGCTATCCTGGTCCTTAAAATCCTTGGAAATTATCTTGCTTTATCTATATTATTTTCTTGATAGCCATAAACAGACACAAAAGCATTTACTTCCCTGGGGATTTGATCAAAGTATAAAAGCTATGTTAATGAAAAGTAGGGACTGCAAAGAAGGAAAGAAAACCCTCAATTCATCCCATCCCACATGCTCTTCTGAGACTTTGTCCCTGCCCCTGTAAAGGTGGAGTCGGATTCCACTCTCCTTGAGTCTGAGTGAGCTTGTGAATTGCTGGCAACCAACAGAACACAGCAAAAGCGATAATGTAATTTCTGAAGTTAGGACATAAAACGTGATACAGCATCCACCTTGTAAGCTGGAACACTTGCACTTGGAGCCCTAAGCTGCCATGTAAGAAGTCTGACTATCCTGAGCCCACCATGCTGTGAGGAAGCCATGGAGAGGCCATGTGTAGTGCTCTGTTCTGCTGTCCTAGTTTTTGAGTGCTCCAGACACCAGACATCAGATATGTGATTAAACAAGTCTTAGTTGCGTGTAGCTCCCAGTCGTGAACTTATCACGAGACTTTGAATCTTCCCAGCTGAGGCCCCAGACAGGTTGGAGCAGAGAGAAGCCAGCCCCACTGTGTACTTTTTGAATTCCTGCCACATAGAATCCATGAGCACAATAAACTGGAGCTTGTTTTATGCCACTAAGTCTGGGATGGTTTGTTATACAGCAATGGTAACTAAAAGACCCATTATCCACACCACCACCAAAAAGGAGGGCTATAAAAAAGGGAGAAACTGTTATAAATAAAATTTTTTTTAAATTATAAACTAAAAGAGATAGAAAAGATATATCAACAAATACAAATGACATTGTTTGGCTCCTGATTAGAATAAACCATTACAGAAAGACACTTAAGAAAATCAGGGCAATTTGACTTCTGACTGGATACTAGATGATATTAAGGAATTGTTAATTTTTAAGATGTGATACAGTGGTTATTGATAAAAGAGTCCTTAATTATTACAGATACATAGAGAATATTTAAATATGAAAGTATCTGTGATTTGTTCTAAATTGGCTGTAAAATGGAGATGGGAGAAGGGTGGAGTACAGATAAAACAAGATTGCCATGTGTTGATAATTGTTGAAACCAGGTGATAGGTACGTGGAGGTTTATTATATTATTATCTCTACTTTTGTGCATATTTGAAACTCTCTATAAGAAAAAATTTGACAGAAGAGAGAGTAGAGTGACTTACTTGTCCTCCGTCCCATTCTTTCAAGTCATAGGTATGTGCTAACAGGTGCCAATGGTTTAAATAGATTGCTCCTTTTATAAACATGACCTCTATGTACTCTTGCAGGCTTCTTGAGACCCAGGACCCTGCACCAATGTGGGGATTTCAGGCAAAGAAACGGACTAGCAGAGGAAAGCATACTCTTAGGCAAATGTTTTAGGCACTCCTCAAATCAGTATAATTCTTAGTGGCTAGAATTCCCCTTCAAGGTAGAATTCTGCTCCCTGACAATACCTAGTCCAGCACTAGGTACACACAGGGGCATCCATAAATTTCTGGAGAATTGATTTGAATTAAGAAACCTGATTGTTCAGGATTAATTCTTCAGCTTCCTCTGAAGCTCAGGTAGTGTTCAGTTTTGAACCTTGAACTATATTTGTCAGCAGAAAGATAGGCAAATAGGCTGCATGTTGCTATGCAGACAGTGTATTTTGGAAGGTCCTCTGTTTGGTTGTGGGTTCTCTCCCTTGAAGAAAGACTGTTAACTCATGCTGCAGCCTGCTGCTCTCTTCTTGGTTTTGTCTATGTCACTAAGCCCAAAATAGAAAGTTCTTTTACTGCAGAGCAGGGAAAGAGGTTTAAATTTATCAAGTCAAATAACAAAGGGTAGCCTTATACTGGCTTTTCCCGGGTAGGGGAGAAATAATGCCTGCTTCATCAAGGAGAAGGAGTGATCTGACACTGGCAGGGGCTGGGACCAGGAGACAAGCTTACACTGTGATGAGTTGGGCTTGTTTCCCATCCTGCATCCCCCAACCCCCCCCCCCCCCGCCTCCTTCCAAACATATCACCTCTTTTAGGACATGGGAAAGCAGCTCAGCCCCTAGGGAATCAACCAGAAATGTCACTGAAGTTAGACTGAGAACAATTCTCTGAGCCAAACTCCTTCTCTCTCAGCTTTTAGAGAAGTCAGTACCTTGCCACAAAGTTAAACAGCAGGGAGATATTATCTTTTCCTATCAAATGGTCAAAAATTTTAAATGATCCCTAGGGTTGGAAAGAGTTTGGAGAAATTGGCATTCTCATACATTGCTGGAGGGAAATAGACTGATCCAGTCAGATGGAGAGCAGCCTACAATGTGGATCCATGGTTTACTAGAGGATGTGGATCCGGAGGATCTCTCATCTACAGCTGGTGGGAGTGTAAAGTGGTTCCTTAGACAAACTCTAGCACGTGTACAACAGGGGAAGTAATGTGCATAGCAGCAGTGTGAGCAAGAGCTAAATCCTAGAAGCAATGCACTTGCCCATCAGTGGGAGAGTGCATAATAAACCACGGTGTATTTATATTGGGGTATTTTACACCAGTTAAAATGACTACAGTGAAATGCAATGATATTGATGAATTTTAGGAAAGTAATATTAAGTAAAAAAGACAAGTCCTGAAAGATTACATACAGCAAGATATCCTTTTTACAAAGCTAAGAACAGATTTTAAACATGAGTCCTTAGGAAAATATACAGATACATATAAAAAGAAAAGCACGGAAATGATGTACGATTCAGGATGCTTCCCTTGGGTGGGGAGCACAGGGAGCTGGGGTGGAAGGCTTTATGGTTAAATACCGGTTATTGTTGAGGTCCTAGCTTTTGTTTCAGGTTGTGGATTCACAGGTACTGATTATGTTATTAAAACTACTGAATTACCACCTAAATTAACAAAATCTGGTCATCCAGTACCAATTATGAGAGTGACTCATGAACCAAGGATTATGGTTAATCCAATTCTGTGTACCTGACATTAAAACAAAACAAAACAAAAAACAAAAACAGAAGTGGTGTTCTTCACCACCAACAGTGGTGAAGTCTTTCCACTTCTAAGCGTTTATCTTAAGGGATAAACAGAGATCCATAAAAAAACTGTGAACAAGGACATTTATCATGGTATTTATACACATAGAAATAGGAAATAATCTAAGTACCAAACTAAGGGGTGTGTTACATAAATTGAGTTACATCAATATGCTTGAAAACTAGGTAGTCTTTTAAAAATATTATTTTCTAAGAGTATTTAAGTTTATGGGAAAATACTCATGATATATCAGTTGAATAAAACAGGCTATAGAATAGACATACACAATATAAACCCAGTTTTTATTTCCCGTAAGTATATATATGCACACACACAAAAAGCTGGGAAGACTGTACATCAAAATGATGATAGCACTCATCCCTGGATGTTATGATTGTTTCTCCCGTAAACTTGTCAGTAGCTTGCAAATTTTCTATAGTGATCATTAATTCTTTTATAATCAGAAATAATTTTATTATAAAAATATGTTAATAATAATAGCTAATGTAGATGGAATACTTGTTATGTGCTAAGAGCTTTGTATGGATTAATTTATTTAAAGTCTAAAATAACCCTATGAGGATGGTACTATTATGATTCCCATCTTACAGATGAAGATACTGAGGTTTAGGGGGTTAAATAACTTACATGAGGACACAGGTCATGAGAAGTAGCGCCTTGAATCGAGCTTCCAGAGGGCTCTTCAAAGGGTGGGCCCGATAGTAGGGTCTTGTTCTCCCTAATGTAGGGATGGCTGCCCCAGAGAGAAGGATCTCCCTGAGAACAGTACTGGGAACTGAACAGCAGCCTGATGTGGAACCTCCAATCCACACAGAGAAAAGAGGCCACCAAGGGGGGTCAGAGCCAGAGCCCACACAAGGTGGTTCAATGGTTCAAGCCAACCATTGAACATGGGGAGGGCAGACATGGGCGGGCCAGTGCGCCCAGCCTCTGAGGGTTCCTGATGAGTCCTTATGGAAAAGGAGATCCTGGTGATTAGAGAACTGATTGGAGAGCAGAGATGTTTTACTTATGGCTCTGGCCAGCTCTGACTCCACCACCACTGTAGGATTGGCATCCAGAGCTTCAGTGGAGAGGAGGAGGATGCCCTAGGGATGGGACAGAGCCAGGGACTTAGCTGCGGTTTCTTCTCATCACTCATGCTTTAAATATAAGCTCTGATGTGATCAAGGTGCCAGAGATAAAATGCCTTTCTCAAGCTAAACAGGCAGGATCTGGTATCCAATTTGGACCAGACAGTGGAAAGTAGACTCAGGAGGAAAAAATCCCTTGGCCTAAACACCAACACACGGGAGTTGGAGAATTCGACACCTTAACATTGTAGAATAAACAAATGTAGGCAGGGTTTGCCATGTTTTCTTCAAAACATCTAGAATAGATATAATTTAAGAAGGAATGACTTAACAGTTACTTGTTCTCTTCTCAGCTGAAGAATTCTGGATTATCCTTCAAGATGTAGCTCAAGCATCAGCTTCTGTGGAAATACTTCCCGAGCTGTCCCAAGCAACAGGGCCACCCCTCTTCTGTACATGTTTAATAAATGATGTGTTTACCTGTCGGACTGTCTGTCTTCCCCTGCTGGAGCATAAGCTCACTGGACTGTGTTTTATATACCTTTAGGTTTTTGCTGCTTTGCCTGCATTTCTTCTCATCACCTCTCTCCCACATGCATCCCTATGCCTGCCTTATGGTAAGTGCTAATTAAATGTTGCTATTGGAACAGAGAGCTATAGAGGTTTGGTGTGTGGTCTTCTAGAATTCCCAGAGCTGGTGATCAAACCCCTTTTTGCTTCTCTGATACTTGAGAGAATCTGATGAAAGCTAAGAACCTTTCCCCAGAAAAAAAGCACATTCAAAATAAAATTCCCATCTGTACAGCCGTAAATACACCCCCCCACACACAACACTTACGAATGAGTGCATGTAAAACTGGAGAAATCTGAATAAGATAGGTGGACGGTATCAATATCAATATCCTAGTTGTGATATTGTACTATAGTTTTGCAAGATGTTACCATTGGGAAACTGGAATCTCTCTGTATTATTTCTTACAGCTGCATGTGAATCTAAAATTATCTCAATAAAAATTTCAATAAAAAAAAGAAAATTCCTATACATTATCCTTTGGGTGTTGATGGATCCCCCTGAATCTACCCATGAATCCTAATTTGAGAACTCCCCAATATAGTCCAATCTCTACATTGCTGGATGGGGAAACTGATGGGAAAGGATGTGCTCAAAATCATACAGATTGTTGGTGGCAGAAGTGGGGATGAGCCCAGCTCTTTTTTCTTTACACTAAAACTGGTTGCTGGGAGGAAGAGCGTGCTATCCACATTGTGTTGTTTACTTGATTTAAAGGCAAGACAAACCAATCAGAGAAACTGATATTCCCTGATGTGGGGGGAGGGCAGGGCAATTCATTTTCAGAATTGTTTGGTCTTTTTTTCTTCTCACTGCTTCCTAGGCTGCATGTGCTCAGCCTATGGATTGGGAAAGATCTCATTTCCAAGGAAGGTGGATTGGGAAGGTGTAGCTCAGGGACCAGCAACCTTTTTGATTCTGAGTGCCAAAAGAGGAGCCAAACCATGCCTATGGGTTATCCCAGCAGGCTGGACAAATGGAGGATTAGGAGAGAAAGAAAGAGAAGAAAAAGAAAGAGGTTACATCCAGAGAAAGAGAGCAGAGGGGCATGGTACAAGGTGAAGACAGTGGAGGGGATGCGATGGATGCATTTAGGGAGTAGGATGATGAGTTGGGCTGGACCACAGGCTGCTTACTAAGCTGCAAACTTTAAGGACACCAGTTATTGCTCTATCCTTGGAGACTGCTGGCATTGAAAGCATCAGATGGTCCAATGGTCAAGATCTTCCTTTCATGAAAATCACTTGTCATCTGATGCTAAATGCTCTCCAGTAGTTAACAGTTTGGGCCTGAAGCCAGACTGTCTAAGTTTGAATCCCAGCTCCTCTACTTACTAGTTATTTTACCTTAGACAAGTTACTTAATCCCTTTGTGCCTCAGTTTCATCATCTGTAAAATGAGGATAATAATAGTACCTGCCTCATAAGTTGTGAGGAATGATGTAATATATGTAAGGCACTTAGAAGAGTACCTGACACATAGTAAGTGCTTAATAAATGCAGGCCTTGGGGCTGGCCCAGTGGCGCAGCAGTTAAGTACGCATGTTCCGCTTCGGTGGCCCAGGGCTCGCCGGTTCAGATCCCGGGTGCGGACATGGCAGCATTTGGCACGCCATGCTGTGGTAGGCGTCCCACATATAAAGTAGAGGAAGATGGGCATGGATGTTAGCTCAGGGCCAGCCTTCCTCAGCAAAAAGAGCAGGATTGGCAGCAGTTAGCTCAGGGCAAATCTTCCTCAAAAAAAAAAGAAATGCAGGCCTTATAATCGTTACTACTTGACAGAACCTCATTTCCTCTTGCTTGTTCTTCCAAAGATGGAGAAAACTGATTAGCGTCCTTCCTCTAAGAACCAACCACCAAGCTGTAGGCACTAAATTACCCATCAGTTTTCTCTTTTCTGCACACACTCTTTGTTCCTTCTTTTGTTTGTGGACTCAACTCCATTACCATCCACAACAATCAGAATTTAAAGATGAGCACATAAGTACCTGGTATTCAAGGGGTCTCCCTGCCTGGTATTCCCTCTAACTGCTTAGGGAACAAACACTCCTGTGGGAGAGAGTCTGTTTCTTTCCATAAGACAGGAGAGCAGAATGGCCCTATCTTTCTATGTTTGCAAATGAATTTCAAAGCACTAAACTTAGATCCCTCTGTGCTTACAAATTCACTTGCTTTGGGGAATCTGATTTCTAAATCTTGCCTGGAGTCACAAGCTAGAAGGTTGGTGAACTGGTTGCTCTGGAAAATAAAGAACAAAACATAAACAGATTTTCCGTCTGGCTCCCTGCAAAATGCCCCCCTCCTCCGCAGCGTTTCTGGGAGTCTCTAGGGAACACCTCACATGAGCTCACCAACAAGTCCTCCAATTCACACCCCTCTGCTCTGACAGGTGCGAGTTCTCTGTGCTGATCCATCAGACTCTGGGGGGCTCCTGCTAGTCTTCTGGGCACTCCCAATCAAGAGAGACCTAGAGTCATCAGAGAAGACTCTTCAGAGGGTGTGGGGCTTGAACTGGTCTTGCATGACAAGTAGGGTTCACATAAATACAAGGGGCTATCTGGGGAGCAGTGACAGGCTGAGCAAGGAAGTGAAAGTAGGAATGGAATGGATGAGCATGGCATTGGTCTGCGAGAGTGAGAGGGCCTGCTGAGCTGAGGGGAGGAGCTTTTACCGAGATGGAAGGCAGGAGAACAGGCCATATTGAAATGCTGGGTGAGGAGGCCAGATGAGAAGGCCACAGGAGAGGTGAGACTTCTTTTCACAGGAAAGTGGGGGCCCTTGAGTAATATTCCAGGGCATAGTGGAATATTAAGTAGAAGTATTGGCTACATGTTCTTTGAGCCTGTGATTCCTCTAAGAAGTGCCTTGTCATGTTTACTCAGATATTATAAAGATTTTCTTTTCACAATTATAAAAGCAATATGTTTTCATTACAGAAAAATCAATAAGTAAAAAGAAGAAAATAAAAAACAATCTCACTCACCAGGTGCAATTGCTGTTAAGACCTCACTGTGAATCTTTCTGAAGTCTCTTATAAGCATGTATTTATAGTGTATATTGAATAAAATTAGGGTTATATCATACTTGCTGTTTTATAAGGTACTTTTTTCACTTAATAATATATTGAGAATAGTGTCCTATGTCAATAAACGTACTTCTATGATAAGATTTTTAACAGCTGCAAAGTTGGTGACAGTATTCTTAAGGTTTACCTGGTGTTCTGGAGTGATGAACTTTGCCTTCCATTTCAGAGATTTTTTTTTTTTTCTGTAACAGAGAAAAACATTTCTACTGTAACTGAGAATGGTATCTGGATGGCACTGACATTACCAAGGGATGTGGCCATCTCTCTCTTTTTTTCTTTAGCCAAACTGCAATAGCTGGGTGAAGAAGCTGTATTATATCTGTGGCAAAGTTCCTAGCCACAAAATCTTGGCCACATCTATAAAATTCTAATTCCAGGTGAAAGGGCAATGTAAGTTTAATTTTTCTGACAGCCACAAAGGAGAGGAACAGGGATAGATACCAATGAGTTGCAAGCATCATTGCATTTCCTGGGTGCAGAAATCTTCTGGTGTTGGGCAGGCCCAGTTGGCCAGAGCCTGGCAGGCTTCTCATGGGTAGAACCACTAAGATGTTGACTAATCAGGTCTTTGTTTGGGGGCTTCAAGGGCTTAAAAGGCCTTGGTGCAAAGAGCATGTTATCAGATAAGGCATCCTTTTCAGATATAAGGTCCTGAGCCAATAGGAGCATAAGACTGACCAACTGTATAAATTCTTGGACTTATTCCTAAGTGACTTTCTCTCTACACAAGCCTTCTGAATATTTGCTTGATGGCAAGGGAAGAGGACAGGTGTCTTTTTGTTCCCTCTTTCCCTCTCTTTCCTTGAATTTCCTCCTCCATCCCCACTTCATCAAATGGCTTTGTGTCTATATGATGTTTTAGATACCGTTATATTCTGTTTCCAAAGACTATTATGTTATTGAGAGGCTCCAAATGGCATTAGAGACCACTTAGGATCAGAGACCACTTAGAAATAATAATAATTGTAATATCTATTACTTACTGGAAGTTTATTATATACTGTTTGATGTTTTATATTCATAATTTCATTTAATTCTCAGAAGAACCTTATTATTTGGCTATTAAAATTATCCCCATTTTATAGATGTGAAAACTGAGACTCAGAAGTTAGGTAATTTGCCATACTTCACACAACTAGGCAGTTGCAGAACCAGAATTCAAACCAGGTCCATCTGACTCTAGAGTCATTTCTTACCTGCATGGCTCTGCTTCCCATCTCCGTAAGTTTAGAAGTCAGGGAACTAGAAGGAACAACAACAACAAAATAAACCCAACACAAGGCCAAGAGAATTGTTGACAAGACACATCTCATTCCTTCTCCATGTTTAATGTCAATTTTTATACCTTGGCCGAGAGTGCCTATTATAAAGCTATTTGCTCAAGGTTGCCTTCCTCCTACCCCGCCCCCATCATCAGATGATTTTTATTTATAGCTATGTTTGAACATCATAGGCAACACTCAGACTCACTGTATACTGAATTTGCCATCTGAGCAAAGATTCTTCCTCAAAGCCTACTTGCTGTATTCACTCTCTGGTATTTGCCAAGAAATTAAAAGGACAGTTCTTTTGGTTTGCTTTTAACTTTTTGTTCCAAGTATTAGAATTGAGACAGTCAGGTCCAATTAGTTTAGACCAGATTAATCAAACCGATTTTTCAGATCCATTGGCTATTTTGAGTTCTAGAGAGTAAGGAAACATTTTAGATTTCATCTAAAGGAAAAGACATTCTGATTTAGTTCTGTATTATTTATAATCATGTATGCTTTACTTCACTGCTTGAATGCTAATAAGCACTTCCTAGAACTCATTCCTTAAGAAGTCATGGCATCTAATTATTTAGCAGGATGGCTTAAGTATATATAATTATATCTTCCCTCCATTTTGTAGTGGTGGTGAGCCAAGTAATCTGCATCAAGAGAAAATAAATAATACCTACATTAATGCCACCAACAAGGAGCTCACAGCACTTTGGAAAAACCCGCTCATTATAATCTTAGCATTATATTATATAATGCAATATATACGTGGTGCATATATATATATGGCATTATATATAGTGCTCAATATTTTTAATATACCAAACTAACATCATCCCCACCTTTCTAGATAAGAGAATTGAGGCAAAGGGAAATTATATTGACCATCTTCCATATTTGAGTCCTTGGAGGTCAGTTGTGTGAATGTGACTGACACCTTGCACTGGGAAGTTTGAAGTTTTAAATCCTGACCACTACCTTGGGCAAGTCGCTCTCTCTTCTAAGTGTCTGAGTGCTTCTTGCCCTATGAGACAGGACCAGTTCTCACACAGGTACAGGGCAACAGTGAAGAACAAGACAAGAAAGCACACTGGACATGGCTTTATAGTCACCGCACTGAGTGATGATTTTTTTCCTCATTCATTCTACATGATCTCAACTCTTACTCCTTTATTACTTGGGGATGTCAACCACAAAACATGGCCAGAATTTGGGCTAAAAGAACTTTTTCCCAGCCCGGTAAATTAGGTATAATCCTTTTGGGGATTAGATCTGAGGTGCTTTCTTGTGGGCACGCCACTGATAAGGACGAAGGGAAGGCAAAATTGCAACTTCCAGCTGGGGAAGGCCAAGCCAGTCGGCCTCGCCAAGCTGGTTGTCTTGAATAAGACAATTTTCAGTTCCGCCACTGGCTGATCTGGACCTGCAGGGCCTTCTCCAGCCTGTTGGTCGGGATAACGCCCTGAGAGCTGCAGCGAGCACTCTTCTCCTGTACATCGCTGAGTGCTTGCGTGTGGAAGGGTCGCCTGCTTTCCGGGTAGGGAGTCTAGAAGACAGGGGACCAGGTTCGGCTCTCGCCTTGTTCTTTAAGGTTAAATGTCATTTGGAAAGCTTCTATCTCTCAGGTCCTGCAGACATCATAATCTCTCTTCTGCCTATCTATCCCCAGACCGTTTTTAAGCAATACTGTTGGCAGAATACAAGCTCCACCAGGGCAGGGAACCTTGGCTGGATGATCTCTCTCCCGGGCATGGGCTTTAGCACATAGTCGGCGCTCAAAGGAGCCAAATATTTCTGTGAATGCAGAGACAGTGGAATGTGAAAACATTTCGCAAACTCCAAACAGATTCATAGCCAGACCGAGGGCCGATCCTAGGGTATCCGAGCGTTCTTTAAAGCGCTGATCGTAGCCGATTCGAACACCACCTGGTCGCGGTCAGGACGGGTGCGACCATCTCCTTGCGGCCTTTCCTCCAGGAAGTAGGCCAGGGAGGGCAGGGGTTGGGGGTCGGGGTCTCTCATTCCCAGGAGGAACCGGAGTGGGAGGAAGGCGCACACCTTAGTCGGAAGGCAACAACGGGCGAGGCTGCGCGGGGCGTGTAGAAGCCAGGCGAGGTCCGAGGCCCAGAGAAAAGCCCAAGGTTCAGCCATCGCGCCCGACCAGACACCTAGGCCCGGGGACAGGTGTGTGCCGGGGGAGTCAGGTGCACTGCGCGGCACTCCCGGGGCAGGTACACCCTCCTCCGCCTACGAGTGACCTAATTACAAGGCGCGGGCCGCGCCCAGAGGCGGAGGTGGCCGCTCCAACCACTCGGCGCCGGTTCCTGCCCCCAAAGATGCGGGAATCCCACGCAATTCCAGCGCTGTTGCATCACGGAGGGTTCATGGGGTCGCAATCCCCGCTTCCGTGACCTGGCTGCAATCGCCGGATGAAGAACCGACGCCTACAACCTTAGGGGAAAAGTCTCCGGCTGCGAGGAGATCCCTCCCACCCGGGCCGCGCCTGCGCCAGGCCCGCGCCCGCGCCCGCGCCAAGCAGGACGTAGTGCCCTGGAATCAGCCGGCTTCCTGGGTGCGAGCACCGCGTTTGCTCGGGCTCGGTCTTCCCTTCCCCCTCGACCCCTCCCTTCTGGGGGACCACGCCCTAAAAGCGACCGTGCCTGTTACCAGCCGGCTCCGTTGCGCCTGCGCCTTGGCCCCTAGTTCCCGCCCCCTCTCGGGTCTGGCGGACGACCAGGGTTGGCTCCGCAGTTGCGCAGCCGGTGTCTCGGCCCTTCTGCCGCTCCGCGCCCCGCCGCCTCCTGACGCCGGGCGTGACGTCACCACGCCGGCGGCCGCCATTACAGAGATCGAGCTCTGGGGCTAGAGCGAGCCGAGGAGGGCAGCGGCCGGTGGCCGAGCACTGCGGGGGGAGCCAGTGGGCCAGCGCTAGCGCCGAGCAGCCGCCAGCAACCACTCAAGTACCCCGGGACCCGGCGGCGGCGTGTGCGTGTGGCCCGTGTGCGGGCGGCGGCGCGGGAATAGCGCGGAGCGGCAGCCGGTTCGGGTGGGTGGCATCATGGACGAGAAGGTGTTCACCAAGGAGCTGGACCAGTGGATCGAGCAGCTGAACGAGTGCAAGCAGCTGTCCGAGTCCCAGGTCAAGAGCCTCTGCGAGAAGGTGAGCTGCGCTCCGGCTGCGGGCGCCCCGCGGCCGAGCCCGCCGAGGAGGAGGAGGAGGAGGAGGCGGCGGCCGTGGGGCGGTGCAACATGGCGGAGGCGCCGGCCCGGGCCCCCCAGCCGCCCAGACCGGCGCCCGGCGCGGCTCCCGGGCCACCCGGCGCCCCCTGCCTCCCGCGCAGGGATTGGTTGTCGCCGCCACCGCCGCCTAAAATGGCGCCGCTCCCCCGATTCCGGGGCTTCGGAGCCTCCCGGCCTTGGCGCCGGGTGAGGTGGCGGGGGCTCGGGGACCCTGCGTGTCAGGGTTGGGGACGGTTATGAGGTCCGGTAAGGGTGCTTGGGTTCCACGGCCTGGGAATCGGGCCTGGGACTCTCCTGTGAGATGGATGAGAGGCTTTCTACTTGTGCTCAGGCCTGATTTTTAGGTCCGAAGCTGTCGTCCAGTGGGTCCCCCAAAGGCGGGCTTGTAGGCCGGATCCCAGGACCTAGCTAAAGGTCACACAGGTTTAGCACTGTCCTGGGTGGTTTGTGTTAAGTTCACCGACCAGTCTTTTCGAGAGACTTATTTAAAACGTGTTTTTTAAAGAATTTAAAAATAAATCTCTAACCTGATTTCTACGAGGGTCATGGTGGTAGTTGTAGAGGAAGAGTATAACTTATTTTTCGTAGTTGGAAGAAATGGAGAATTTGGTGAGTCATACTTCATAAGGAGCTTTGGGATTGGAAATCAAGTGCCGGTTTAATCTATGCTGACTCAAATTGGATAGTGTGAAACCCTTCTCTAAGCTTAACGTATTTGGCATTTTGCCATTTATTTGTAAATGAGCAACATAAACTAAGAGCAGTAAATTTTGTATCCTGGCTCTGTGTTGGAAAAGTTACTTGTTTGTATTTTTGTGGCTCGCAGTAGTAGTAGTAATAATAGCTGTCTGTTGACCTTTACTGTATTCCAGACGTTGTGCTTAGTGTTTAAATAACTTTAACTCACAGATATTGAAAATGGAATGTTGTCCATTTAATAAGTCCATTTTAAGTTATCTTAATTCCGTTCTGTTTTTCCCTAGGAGTGGGGCAAACAGGTAGTGTATTTAGCTATTAGCTATGAAATCATAACTCAGTTTTCTAAAGTATAGAATGTGCCATCTCCACTATGAATATTTTGACTTCCCTTTTCAAAAATTAACTTTGCAACATTTCTTCCTAGTACAGAATTGTGGGATATCAGCATTTCGTATTAGTGAAGAGAGTTATTAGCGATTCTGCTGACTCGTTTGTGGTTTGATGTGAAAATTACGTTCACGAGTTTGATGTATATGCTCCTGAAACAGGCTTTTTCAGAAACTATGCTGTGAATAATTGCAACTTAAGTGAGTCAAATTCAGATTTATTTATCCCAAGCCTGAATAAAACTCTCCTACTAGTGGATGAGGTGGCACATCATCTCCTGAGCTGAATTTTAGTGGTAGCATGTACTGTGTCTGTTGCTTCTTGACCCTTAATTCTTTTGCATCAAATGAGGATGGTATTTGTTTTAAAGGTTTAGAAATAGTCTTTTAAAAATTGTTTAATGTATATTGTCGGGTCTTAATTTCTAGGTATTGTAAGTGAGTTTAGCACTTTATATAAAGACACTGAGCCAGCAGTTGGCTGGATGACGAATCATTTGTGTAGGAAAAAGAAGAGAGGTAATGATGTAATTGGAAGACCACTGAACTTCACGTTAGACCTGGACACTAGTTCTTTTTCTGCTGTAGAGTGAGTAATTGTGACTGACCTTCAGGCAACCACTTCACTTGCTCCACATTTTCTTGTCTGTAAAATAGTTAAAACGGATGATGTTCTAGGGTCTTTTCTAATCTTCTGAGATTATGCAGTTCCATTTTAAATTAGTACTTTGTGTATAAATATTGAACATCTATTGACTATCCAAGATTGCTTACTCTTAGGAATGAAAAGCAATGAAGAATAATCATACTTAGTCTCAAGATGACCGAATCTAGTTGGAAATCAATAGTAGATGGACCACAGAAGTAGAGGGTTTGTGTTGGAGACTATAGAAGATAATTTTGGATGTTAAGGTGGGGTGGCTGAAGCTTGATGCTTCTGGTAAATGTTCATTCTTTTCCACGTCTTTGTAAAATTAAGGTGTAGTGAGATTAATCAGTTTATGCTTAGATCTCCGTTGCTCATCCAGTGTGTCCAGATTTTAGTTTTTAGAGCCAAAAAGATGGAAATAGTATTTGAAGTTAGGTTTCCAAGAAGTGGCTCCTTTGGGGAGGATATCACACTGTTTCCATACTGTTTTTAACTTGTAAGTATTTCAACTTTTGGAACTATATTAAACCTGCTCAACTAAATTACTGTGAAGGCAGCTTTTTAGGTATGTGGGATGAATTTAGGATGCATGACTTGAAATGATCTTTTGTCCAAGTTTTTCTAGTAAAATAAAACTTCTCTTTTCCCTGTTAATGTTTGTGTGGTCAATAGCACATCTGGTGAAAGCTACTACATACTCTGAAAATCTTGAGGGAAAACTTTTTTTCATTAGTATAATAGTAGTTTTTTCTTTCTTCTTTTTAAAGAAAAGATACTTGTTAGGGATAGCTATTTGGTAAAAGTTGGCCATTTCTTTGATTATAAGAAGGAATAATATAAAAACCTTCCCTCTATCCACCTGAAGATGCCGAATCTGAATGAAATATTTAAAGTTAAATAGTAAAGATAGAAATATACCCTAAGAGGTCATTGTGATTAAAAAATTCAGAGGTCATTAATTTGGGATCCCATCAACAATTAACAGTGGTAGGGGTTCAAAATGCAGAGAATCCAAGTGTGTATTTATAGACAGGGGTGAATATGGTTTTTATGTTATTAACTACTTAAGCTTTTTTTCCCCCCAAGATGTAATTAAGGTTTATATCCAAACCGAGGTTATTGTGTGTGCAGTATACCTTATCATTTTGGGGATCATAATTTCTTGATTGTTGAAAAATTTGCTATGAGCGAATGCAGTTTTTGTCTCAGGCACAGTTCTATAGTCAGTAGCGTTGCCACATCTATGTTTCCATCTACAGATTGAAAGAAGTAAATAGTATCAATTTGGTTTTGCATTAACTACAGTAAACAGTCTTTTATTATGTGATTTCAGCAGTGGTTTGATTTAGGTATGGTTTTTGGCTTTGTGCTTTCAGGTCTTACCAAACTTGTGGAGAATGTTGTTTGATAGCCAGGTTTTTTTTCAAAGCAGTTCTTTACGTAGGTATGCTGCTGTTTTCCATTGCTCTACAAGCACTATAAATAAAATGCAGTCATTAAGGCTTCACTTAGTTTGAACATTTGTTACATGACTATGGAAAAAACAAACCTTTTTTCTAATTGGATGAGCTGCAAGATATTTGACCAAGGTTAACTTCCTATATGAAGTGGATAATACATTTAGTGAGTCTGTCTGTGTGTTTGATTTAAAAGATTGTTTGGCTCTTTTCCATAAAACTAGTTTGAATATTGAGAATAAACAGTTGGAGGGAAATCATGATGCAGAATATTATTTTCATCATACTTTCGCATACACAGTTGCCTTAACAAGTTTATGAGACAGTTACTGTTCTCAGTTATAGATATAAACCAGAGACTCAGAAAGGTAAAATGACGTGACTACAGGGGCTAAACTGAGATTACCTAGGTTTATGGATTCTAAACCCAATGTTCTAGTCTTGCTTCAGAGCCCCCCCTTTCTCTTTTCTGAGGTAGTGTTAATAATGAAGGATGTAGGTGAGTTGGGGCCAAACTTAATTGTAGAATCAACAGTTCTGTAAAATAAAGCTTTATTTTTATTCTGATTGCTTGAAAGTTTTCTATTCATGTCACATATGGTTGTCTCATTTTGTCCTAGAGGGGGAAACAATAATTATTCCATAATTTTGGATATGGCTAACTGCATTTGCCACTCAGATCGGTGAGATGAAAACTTTGAGAATACATAGAAAATGAACTAGATAGTGTAAATCATGATCCAGAGACTGAGCTCTAAAATATTCTAGTAAAGAATAACTGGCATTTATATTGTTTATTACAGCTTGTAAAATGCCTTTCTTTTTATCCTCATAGCTTTCACAGTTAAACCTATTTGTGCCTATGTGTGTTTCATGATCTCCCAAGTATGAAGCAGTAATGCGTTTGGTTTTGGGTTGACTTAATGAGGAAATACTGAGAAGGTGCACAGTCCTACTATTCAGACACACAGGTCCCCGACTCTCCCTTTATTTTCTCCGTCAGAGCCTAGAGTTCTGTGTCTGCAAAGATTGGCAATAAGGCTAAGGTGAAACTCATGCTGTAGAAAGAATGATGGGCCATGGAGGAGTGCATGGGAACACATTAATATCACCAGTATGGTGTTCCCCCTTTTAACTTCCCATATCTCATGTGAGTCAAGTTTTTCAGTTACCTGTGAAGTATTCTTTGTTTAGTTTGGAGGAGATAAGCTAGGAAAACCAGGAGACATTCGGTTAGGGTTGAGGTAGTGGTGGGGAGGGGGTCTTTA